TGATAAGTTAATAAAGATGGTGAATTTTAAGCTCGGTAATGAAATGTGAAGGTGAATTAATCAACATGACACGAGCGTGGGACAAAGAAAAATTCGGAGTCCCCGACAGGAATCGAACCGATGACCTCCCGAACACCGGGCGGGCGCTCAGAATTTTTCTTTGTCCCACGCTCGTGTCATGTTGATTAATTCACCTTCACAAGAGTTCCAGTTGTTTAACAGCATATTGTAGTGAAAGGATATTGGATTACAAAATAGCCCAAAGAAAATACGTGCGCTGATTGGTTTAAAATCGTGTTTATATTTAACAGTTAGATTACGAGCTCGAGATTTCTATCGTGTGATAGCCAACTATCACGCGATAGAAAGCTGTTTTAGCATAAATCTACTAGTCGTTCAAAACGTTATCTAAATCCCCTTCACAGACACTTCGAAAATGCTAAGAAGCGGCCGTCATTTTGTTAACAAGCGCACACTGCTACGCTACTCACTATCTATCACAGAACAGATAGTGAGTAGCGTAGCCAATCAGAGAACGGTATTCGTGATAGAACGCTCGTAGATTTATACTAAAACTCGTTAGAAACACGGTACATGTTTTTTAGTTCTTAAATGAATGTGTGCATCTTGCATTTTCAGGTACCGAAGCCAGCCAAACCTACCTATACAAGAAAAGTTCAGCCTTCCAATCAGTGGTATGATGTGGGAATCGTCAAAGGCATCTCTATGATGGTGACGCATTACTATCTCTCCAGTGATAACAACACTAATGAGGTAATTGACGATTTTACTTTCTGGTGATCATTATTTACTAAAGAGACTCTGTCAAATTATTTTAGGTCATTCTTTTCAGCGAAAGTGGGAGGCGCGGTGACCTCATGGTTAGTGCTCTCAACTCCGGATCGAGCGGTCCGGGTTCGAGCCCTGGCCGGGGACATTGCGTTGTATCCTTGGGCAAGACACTTTACTCTCACAGTGCGCTCTCCACCCAGGTGTATAAATGGGTACCGGCAAATTTAATGCTGGGGTTAACCCCTGCGATTGATTAGCATTCCATCGGGGGGAGGGGGGGGGGGGGAGTAGTAATACTGGGATAAGCCCCAGCATGATGGGCCATTTGGTTCGTATGCGGACAGTGTGCCACATCCATTCTAAACAATGTGACAAAGAAAATGTAGGCGACTCTTCTCTTTTATCAGAAACTAGAGTTAAGGAACATCTTTCGAGTAATTTGTCGGCTATTCATAAACACAGAGGGCAACAAGTTTAGTTCTAACGTGGCATAAGTGAGGTAATCGATATCCGGTGACGAAAACCCTCTTTCAATAGAGAAACCGGAGGGTAGCAGAACAGAAAACTGTCTTTGAAAAACTGTGTGTAGTACTTCCTGTATAAAAGTTGTTTTTTATTCATTTTTGCCTGCCTAGGCAAATCTCGATGTTGAAAGTAGCTCAGAACAGAGTTTGAAGAAACAGGAACTTCTACCAGGAACGGCTTACAAATTCCGTGTGGCGGCCATTAATGCTTGTGGTAGAGGACTATTCAGTGATGTGTCAGCTTTCAAGACTTGTTTGCCAGGTAAGCTGACTATAAATGTGTTAAAATAGTTCGTGAATGGATTTTGACCCAAATAGCGTGTTTTTTGAGCGTATTGAGTTCTTAACCAATCACATGGAAGAATCTGTTTTATCCAGCCAATCAAATGCAGACCCGCTCTTTGACGGTCGCCACTTTCCCGCGTTTTCCGCCGTGACTAACAACACTTTCGTGTTCTGTTTTTTGATAGGTTTCCCTGGAGCACCATCCGCGATAAAAATAAGCAAGGTTTGTATATTGATTGAAGTTTTATTCTTCTCAATCACTTTACCAATAATGAATGCAACCTCACTTGTATTCCTTGTTTTCTTGTCTGGTGTCGCAGAATGCAGAGGGAGCTCATCTTTCGTGGGAAGCACCCTCAAATACGGCCGGTAACGTCAGCGAATACTCCGTGTACCTGGCCATTCGCAGTCAGTCAGCCAACCAATCAGATGAGAAACCTGTTGCCGGCATGACCTCATCTACAAGTTCCACCCCAGTCCAGCTCGCTTTTGTACGTGTTTACTGTGGCGCCCAGCCCACCTGCACCGTCAGCACGGCCACGCTCCAAAGCGCTCACATCGACTTCTCAACCAAACCTGCCATTATCTTCAGAATCGCCGCTAAGAACGATAAAGGGTAAGTCACCAGCTTGAGGTGTACATGTAAATTCTCCTTACTGGTACAATAGTTATGGTACCATCTTCTGCATTCTTTACGTGATATTTACAGGAATTTCGAGCAACTGTGCGTGTTAGTTTAAAATTGCTTCATTTGTAACGCTTGCTTCGCTATCTCGTTCATTTCAGTTATGGTCCAGCAACACAAGTTAGGTGGCTTCAAGGTAAGATACATCAGGTCCCTTGGTTGTGTAAAAGTTATGTTTTAATCCGTGCATGTAGAAAAAACCTAACCCTCTAATGTGTTGATTTGTTTTGTAAACCAGATGTACGAGACTTGAAAGATGGACAACTTGCTGTGAAGACAACAGCTAAACGTGCAGCCGCAGATAGGTGAGAAAATCGTCAACAAAAAAAAACATTTTACAATGTCACATGTACAGGACAGGCGGATTTAACTCACTCACTCGCTCACTCATGCACGCATTCCCTCACGCTCGCACTTACTTACTTACTCAAGTACGCGCTCACTCGCGCAGCACTCCCTCGCACTCACATGCACTCACTCGCGCTCACATGCTCTCACTCACTCTCTCGCTCTAAGAACTGACCTGGCTGCGTTTGATTGTGCTTTGAACTTTAAGCTGTACTCGCCTCAGATTTTGACAAGCCACGAAATAAAGCAAGCATTGCTTATTGGTGACAACACCCTAAAAATATCCTCACTGTTCTTTCATTAGTCGCTCTGCGGAGTCATCCAAAAGGGCCAAGAAGGAAAAAGAGAAAAAGGAAGAGAAAGTGAAAAAAGAGAAAGATGCCGAAAAAGAGAAGGATGCACCAGACGATACCACACCAAAAGATACAAAGGACACATGATATAAATACCCAATACAAACAAAATTACACTTATTTTATTCAGACAGAAACTCCTATGAACAGTGAACGCTCTCGGTAGTAAAGTAGAAAATGTTCTAACGGTGCTTCCTACAGTTTGGATTTTCAAGTCGCCGCAGCTGGACACCTTCAAGGTTTGTTTTTCACTTGCGCAGAAGCATAAGAATTTGCAACATACTCAAACGTAGTAAGGGTGCTTTCAAGTAGCGCCTTTTGTTGTCCTTATAGAAGGCGCCAATTAGAGCGGTTTTCAATCGAGTGTTGTTTAACAAAGCCAAAGTAATCACTGTGGCCAATCACAAAGGACAGACAACGCAGTGAACCAATCAAAAACTCAAAGTAATTACATGTAGCTGACGCGAAGCACGGGAAAACTTGTACGAACGAGTCGCGATGGGTGTTGGTGTTTATTCTGATTGGATGAAAAAGTGGCGCGAGTTTTTTAAGCCAATCGTGTGGCGTAGTAGTTCAAAACAATATTTTTCGACACTCCTGTGAAAACCACTCTATCAACATCTTACTGTGTCTGCGAATGTCGGCTTACACTTGTACTTATGCTTATGCCATAGTGAAAACCGGCCTTAACAGTTATAACACGGAATATTAAGTTATCGGTTTTTGTTTACTTTGTTTTTGTGACGTACAAAATTACGTTCACAGCAAAGAAATCTTTAACCGGAAAAATAGTTCACGATAGCCGTAAATAAACGCCAAAGAGGGAGACCAAGACGACGGTTAAGAGTGAGCAAAATTGAGAGCAATAATGATTTGATAAATTTATCAAGACTATTTTTTCCAGCTGTGCTGTCCATGAAATTCCTCTTTCACAAACGTTGCACTAATTTGCCTTCTTTTTGTGACCGTGAGCGATCTAGCGATGTTTTTGTCTGTTGTATTATCGACAACGCGTATGTTATTTTATCGTACAAAGAGAGCTGTATATTATCTATATTACCTATTGTAAGCCCTCTGGCTTCACAATAGGCCTGAAAGATTTTCGGAGCACCCTTTATTTTTTCGAATTAGGTAGCTCGGCTGCGAATCCAATGTCAGTTGTAGAATAGGTACCCTAAGGGTAGAAAGAGATGATCTGAGCCCGCAGTTGTCAGCGCCCAGATCGGTTTTCTTAGAATACCTCATGTATTGTTGTCATCGACTCTGACTCAATTCTGAGGCGGATACTTCGTGATACAGTCGTGAAAAAGAACCTAATTGGTTACCAGTGTGACGCTGCCTGGACCTTGTTCTTTTGAGTGAGGTTATTTTTAATTTAGTGTCGTACATTGCTCGTTTATTAAGAACCAACTAACTACCAAGCCGAGCTTCATACTGCTGATTCAAAAAACACTGTCCACGTATATTTTCTGTTTTCTTTAGCTCATACCTTGTAGTAGAAAACTGAAAACTGTGATCCTATATTTTATGTAAGAGAAGAAAGTACTGTATACCGTAAATTCTGATACCTCTGGAACCCTGGGGATCCCCCGAGGGATGGTGATGTGAATGTACAGCCTCTAGGCTAATCTTTCTTGCTGTATTGGTTGAGAATGCTAGCGCTGTGCTTCAAAGTACGATGTGTTTTGTTGAACGCGGAAGGCTATCATTCTGTACTATCTTCCATGCAAAAAAGTTTTCAATATCATTTGTGCTTTGAGAAGTTTAACTGTAAATATATTGCATAGTATAACCTGGGGTTCTAGCTGTATCGCGGCAGAACAGACCATTTTAACACAGATCCCGTCGTAGCTGTAATTATCATAATTTATTTTACTGTAGTTATTTAACTCGGAGGCAAATTTTTACGTTAAGACGTGGTATTGCTTTGCGTCGAATGTGAATACGTTTATGATGACAGAGAGATCATAGCTCTGTATGTACCCTTGAAGTGTACAGGGTGGGGAACTTAACTGTTGATTTTGTAAGAACTTACCCAGACAGTGTTGCTGCATAAACCTATCTCCAGGGACAAGCGCTTCGAGAATAAAGAGCGAAGCTTGCACACTGAATTTGTTGTCTTAATTTTTGGTTAGATTTCTTTTGGATAAGTAGGTCGTAGATTGTCGAGAACTTTTAGCGATACTCTAATAAAGAACGATTGCGCGATTTTTTTTCTTCGCTAGTTCTCGTGCAGGAATTACCATCACTCCTCCCTGCTCCCTTAAAATAAAATTGCCCGTTCCTTGGAGCAATCCGTGCAACGTGTGCACTAACTACTCAAACCGACAGTGACCCACGCAAATCCTCCGTTCTGACAGGCTTATTTGAAGGTTATCCACAAAAAGGAGTAGAATTAATGTTAATCTTGCGAAAAAAAGGCTCAGTACCGCAGGAGAGACTAACCTGTCCAGAATACGGCGGCTAACAGGTACTGAAATACTGGTAACCACTATAGAACGCCAGCATAGCAAGCGTTCCCGGGCTTTTCGCGCAGTCTGGCCGCGCGCAAATTGCTGCTTGACAATTTTTTTTCTCCCGCTTCAATTTGCGCGCGGCAAGAGTGCGGGTAAAGGTCTTTGTACGGGAACGCAAAACGCAGGCTGCTACAGATATATTGCAAGGTGCGCGTGAATTATTTGAGCAAGCAAATGCGATCTAATTATGAATGTCACACGTCTTTGAATTATGACGTAACCTCTTTAGAACAGTCGGCCGTCTGCTATTTCAGCCAAACATGATCGCTGCCTCGGCGGGTGCGGCGGCTAGGAACGCCTCGAATAAGGCGTTGATAAAAAAGGTGGTTGGGTTAATTGTTGTTGTAGTTGTTTGCGTAGCTGTAGTTGTCATAGTTTTGAAAGTCTTAAACAAATTCGGAGATTCTAGTGATGACGCAAAAAAAGAAACGAATTTTGAAGGTAAGCCTGCAAACTGTGGTTAATCAGAGTTAACGCACAAACTATCGTGGTGGAAAAACCAACGTTATACAGTTGAATTACTATGCAATAACTTGAATTCGAAACCTGAAAAAAGTCATTCAATGTGCAAATTGTCGTTTATTTTTCTGACTCAGCTACGAAAGTTGGGAGGGACTACAGGCCTCGGACTTTTGACTCTGAAGTCTGAAGTCCCTGCACGGCTTTCCTGCAGCTTTGCTCCCACGAATACGTTCATATGTTTTTCCTGGGCGGGATCATATAATCCTTCTGATTCTTTTCGAGGTTTTGCTCTCCAACGTCTTTATTTTTTTTCTCCTTCTTCAATCAGTTTTTTTACTGATCTATAACTTTTAGGTTTCAATGTAAATTTGTGTGTTGCTGTCATTTTGGTAAACTACCTGTCTTGGCGTATTTCATCCTTCTCGAGAGTTGCTGCAAAAGTGATATCTGCGATGAACTTTTTGCAGTAAACTTTCTGCAAAATACAGAACAGACTGTATTTTCATCATGGAGCGTTCAGGTTTTCACTAAAGTACAAGCCGACATACTTGGACGCAGTAAGATGTTGATAAAAAGTAACTTTTGTTTGGAAAATTGCGCTACTTAGTAGCACTCTTCTGCGTCTGCGCATGTCGGCTTATGCTTAAGCTTATACTTGTACCTGGTGAAAACTAGCTAGCACTAAGGTTACATAGTAGCAATCGAGCAGACAAATGTTTCTTTGTGTTGCGTTTCGGTGGTTAAGCACATTACGGGCTGCTCGCGCGCGCGCGCGCGCGTGTAACAGCTATGAATACAGCCAGGAGCCATACTTGTTGTAGTAATTTGAAAATTTCCTTTAGGTTGTAAAAGATTGTTGCGCTGAGCGAAGATTCGATAACTCTCCTGACACATATTTTCCTACAAAACACGCACTAACATTGCAGTCTAATATGTTTTCATTCCCAACATGTAAAGTTCGAGTGCTGACAAACAATGGCGCTGTCGGACGTTTTGGTCCTACCAGACTCAAATACCACGGATACCTCAAACAGGAAGTCAAAGTGTCCCTTCAACATCCGGGAATTCAGCTCTGGACTGTCCCTGTCTCCGGTCTCTGGTCCATCGAAGCTAGAGGGGCCTCCGGGGCTGATGGGATACTAGTCGGAAGTTCAGCGAATCGTAAGCAGGGAGGACTTGGGGCTATTGTTAAAGGAAAGTTCTTGCTGCACAAAGGCAGAGTGATAAAGATTTTGGTTGGCCATGAGGGGTCACGTGATCCCGTTGATCCTCATCGTCCCGGGGGAGGAGGGGGCGGAACCTTTGTTGTGTACGAAGATGGCAAGCCACTTCTTGTTGCTGGCGGTGGGGGAGGGGGTGGAATTCCTAAAGCAAGTAAGTATGCATGTATGTGTTAAATACGAATCATTAAAGACAACATGAGTGCAGTCTCAATCGATACAGCGACCCGTTAGTTGTATTTTAAGTTTTGGGTAAAAGATTTAGTTTTAAATAGCTAGGGTTTTATTCAAAATTTTCAATGCATTCCTTTCCTTATTTTTGTAATTTTCCACAAACGCTGTAATTTCCAAATCGCTCGTTTTTGAATGAAATTTCGTTCTTGAGTTGTTGCCGCCGTGAGGATTAGCGTCTGTCAGGTTACACTGATCTTTCATAGTTACTGGATTTGAGCTTCATTCCTTAAAGATTTTCGTGTCGGTTTATGCGAATTCTTACATTTATTTGTGACTGTTTTCTAGCTTCTCAAACAAATGGTGGAGGCGGGAGAGCCAACGATGAACCTCCTTCAAGTTTCAGCGGTAGGGAGGGCAATGGCGGGAAACTCCTGGACAGCAGCGACGACAGTGAAACGGTCATTAAAAACTCCACCGGTCACCATAAAGTGATAGCTGGCGCAGGAGGAGGTATGTACGGCGCTGGAGTTGGCTTGTACAAAGGTTGGGGCGGCAAGAGCTTCATGGATGGTGGAAATGGGGGAGAAGCAGTACCAGCTTACGAAAATTTTGACCATGGCAAGATGGGCCGAGGAGGTTTTGGTGGGGGTGGTGCTGCGGGGTTACTGCCTGGCGCAGGGGGAGGGTACTCGGGAGGTGGTGTGAAAGGATGCTGGATGGAATGTAATGGTAAGGAGGGTGGTAGAGCAGAAGGAGGAAGTTCGTATAATTCTGGACTGTCACCTTCTAATAAAGGAAACAAGAACAAGGGACCCGGAAGAGTTTATCTAAGACTTATGTCTGAAGAAGTTGAGGAGACATAACCAGCTTAAACAAAAGTCGTGTTGTCCTTCCTTGATTAGATTTGATTTTATTCACGATTTAAACAAAACTAGACAACTGGTTACGGCCAACATTCTGGAATTTATCACACTCTAAAACCAAAACAGAAATAAAAACAGGTTTTGTTTTTTCAGTGTTCTCAATATTAATTTCACCATTTTTTTGGGTGAGTCACTTCGTTGCCTTTCAATCGAAAAATAACACAACTATTATGGTACCTGATCTTACCAGTTACGAGTGAGTTGCCGGACACGGGCGATCCATTTTTGGCGCAAAATTAAAAGCTTGGGGACACAAAATGTTTCATATTTTTCACCTCTTACAATCTGTTATGGCTTCTGGAATTATAAATCCCTTTTTGCGAATACTTAATTCTGTCTCCAGTGAGAAACGTTGCCAGCCTTCAATGCCTTTCCTGTTAACATAACGCATAGCCTTGGCCTACATCATGTACATTGACGTCAGCATGTATCAGGACAATAAAGCTTTTCCAGCTTTCTGAATCCTGATTAGTCAATTCAAATTTCTGGCGCGCCAGCAGTATGCAAAGAAATAGACGGCTGATAATCTAATTCTTAATTAGAACAGAGCATAGTTAATAGAGGGAAATGGTTATGAAACCTGACAAAGTTCTTTGTTGTATGTTTTTGTTTGCTATTTTGCAATTGGGGTTAACCCTACGCAAAACTTAGCAAAACGCAAAAGGTGGTTATGTGTGCTCATACAACTAACCAATAGAAGCTTCTTCAATGTTAACTATGAACAAACTAGCTCTCGTAGAGACCATTATTAACGCAAATGACCGATACAGTGGTCATCAGATATGGGTCATATGAGTCTTAGAGGAACTGACGAAAATACAGAGAAAATCTGCACGCAACTTGGCTTCCTGTGTATAGAACACTGCGCTGCATGCGGGCTCCTCGTTTTGTCGCCAATACATTAGTATTTCCACGTCATATATATTAGTTTCATTACTTTGGTTAACTCATAACTAATCGGAAGAAACGTTCTAATTTCGCCTGTGTGCTAAGGGGCGCTTTTATTTCTTCTTTCTTTTTTCCCCTTATAACCTGCAACCTTTGTGAGTAAATGAAAGTCTTCTAGCAATAAAAGATACACTCAACGTATTAACCTGTGTAGGCAGCGATATAACTTCCTCTCCCCGTGTAATGCCCGCTACCTGACGTAAGGAGAACTAGCTGTTATTTTAAAGAAGCGTTTAAAATTAACTACTACTTGTGGTTAACTAAAGTTTCTTCAAAACAAACAAAGCCTTATGATGTTCATCAACTTCCCATTTCCCGTCTGGGGCGGGGCTCCTATGCCTGCAGTCGCTCCGTTTACGTCACGGACAACTGGTCACATGTCTGCACATGCGTAATCAGAATCAAAACTTCCAGCAGAGAACTGACCGACAGATTCTACGAGTTGTTTATGAATTTTCCAGTCGGTTTTAAGGAATCTTTAAGCCATAGATAGCAAAAGGGTGTCATTTGTCTTCAGTAATGGGGCTTAAGCCTCTCGAATTCGAGGACTGTATTTTGGATAGTCCCTATTTCCGCGAGAACATTCACGAGCACGAACGGGAGCTGGAGAGGACGAACGAGGCTATCAAGAGGCTGATCAAGGAATGCAAGGCTTTGCTGAAGGCTATTGAAAGTAGGTACTCTAGATCTCTGCAGTTTGATCCGTATTACACTGCTTGGTACCTCTTATACGTGCTTGGAAGTCGCTGTCGTTTTTTAAGCAAGTGTCAATTTAGCTCAAAGCGACAGCCAAAGGTACATACTCTGTTATTTTTCGAGGCTAATTTTAGCCCTAAGGGCCACGGCGACTTCCTGCAACTGGCTCCAAGGAACTTCAATATAAATGTTTGAGCTCTTCTCTGATCGTTCAGTCGCTTGTTTGTGGCTACATACAGCCGTCTTTTCAAAGTGTGATGAGGTAACAATCATTTTATCGTCACGTGGATTGAACTTTTACAGTTGAGTTTGTAAAACGAAATTGACTGTCGACGTTTACGCAAGCTCTCGTGAAACTTTTCGCTAGAATTAATTTTTTTAAGAATTTGCTTTCTTTGATTTTAGTGGAAATATTCCAAGTTTATGAGACGATCATTCAAACTTCAGTTCTTTGTTAAATTCAGTCGCTCTATCCCAGGCGTTGATTCTTGACAAAGCAAAACGGATGTGGGACAACTGATCTTAAGGATAAACTTACAATATTTGTATGTGAAATGAAGAATAAACGGTAATATATTGAAGTTTTGACATGATCGTCAAGTGGGAATCTGAAAATGGAATAAAAGTTGCTTGATACGATATCAGATTAACATTGTAAACATTTGCCCGACGAAACTGCGAAATGTTAACAAGGGATTCCCTTTATTCAGGATTTCTTGAAGCTGTTGTAGCCAGACATTCCCCTTTGTGTTGTTCGTACGGTCTTTAATCTGGCGTGTTTTCTCCATCAATGATTACTTGTACTGTATGACTATAAGTTATGTGTGTCGGATAAATTTAAAAACAAGCACCCTTTCTGTTTCTGTCCAAGTGAGCTGAACTGTACGTAGAGCTGATTTCGTGTCCTGTTTACCTGACTTCTATTGTTTGCATTCAGTGGATAGGCTAATTCGTGACACATTCATTAGATTCTTAAAATATTGCACTGTTAAATTGTAGAAAGGAAACTGTTTTCTTATGATTCATCAGCCAGAAGGAGAATTCAACTTTCTGTAAATTTAAATAGTTTAGTGTCGTTTTTACAAATTTGTGTACCTATAATTCTAATTTTATCTTTTAAATCAATGTTTTATTTTTTCTCTAATTCTAATTTTTACTTTTTATTTATCTTAATTAATTAATTTACTTTTGTTCATTTCCTATATTCTCTTGGGGGAGCCTCCTGAGAACCAAGGAACAAAAGACATGTTAAGCTGTTGTTATTATTAGGGGAGGTTAAAAAAAGAGAGAATCTTATTTGTTCCTCATGGGCAGGAAAATCTTACAATGTGAAGTCCCATGGTCCATATTTTTTTTAAGCAGATAAAACAATGACATCAGTTGACTATAACTGTTACAGATATCCTTCAGTTTTTGTGGAGGTCCATGTGAAAAATTCTTTGGGCAGATATTCTCTCAGTGTGGTCCTGAACAAGCTTGGTTGATAGAGGGTTTATTGCTCATGAAAATATTAAGAAAAAATTCCATGATGATGGACAGGAGGAATATCGCAAACTTGAAGCACATAATGTTGATTGGGAGCTGACTTGGCATATACTCGTGTCTGATTGTTTAACAAAGTAGAAGGGAAAGAGAAAGGAAAGAAAAATATAAGAATTATTTTATGTAAAGGCAAGCCTTCTAAGAAATGTAAGCCATAAAACTACCAGGAAATCTTCAACTCTTACCAAAAGTAAACTTTTATTAAAAGCCTTAATAGATTAATTTTTTTTCAATTGTTTATGTATTTTAAAGTTACATTTTGTATTTTGTTCCAAGGTGTTCTGTGGTTCTAGAGAAGTTATTTTTCTTGATTATTTTCTCAGTGAATTACAATGTAGGTCTTTTGTTTCAATGGCTAAATATAGTTCTAATTGTAGAAATGACTTTTTTATTAGTGGTAGAAATAAATAATTTATCATTATACCAGCTAAAAGTTATTTGCATATTATGGTTCAGTTGCTCGATGCCTTATTTTTTACATCTTTTATAGATATCTTATGCCTACAGTCAGAGGTAATTTTTGCTTACATACATGTGTAGTTAACTCATTTTCAAAGGGGTTTGTTGTCCTCTATAAGTTCAACTGAATTTTAAGAATGTTTGGTTTGGTGCACAGTTAAATGTCAATCTACTGCAATTGTACTGGACATGCATGTATGTAAATTTGAAGTCAAGATCAGTGTTTTGAAATTGACCATGCATACAGAAAGCATTATTTGAGAAGGCACAGCAACAATAATTTGTGATCATAATATAATTGGGTGGTCCTCTGTCCTGTTTTTTTGTAGACTTATCCAAAGCACAGAGGAGTTTTGCACAAGTGCTAGATGGCTTCAGATTTGAGTGTATTGGAGAGGTGGAGACTGATGATGAAATACATATTGGTAAGCTGAATTATGCTTCTTATCCCGTTGACGCCTGCATTAAATTGCCCGCAACCCACCCCTAGTTCCCTGGCATTTTTTAAAATATTTCAGAGCGAGGGTAAGCACAAAAATAAACCATATGTGGGACCTTGACATCCCTTGTTTAGTTGGAGATTTTGTTACAGGTTACAGGGTAGGGTTGATGTGTGGCTGCTTGCCACCAAAAATCTTTACCCACAGAAGTCATACATGTATTAGAGCTCACCTTGCTCAACAAAACGTTTACTCAGTAGTTTTGTGTATGTTGCTGGTGCAATTGAAATTATGCCTGGAAAAATTACCACTGACAGTGACTTGAAATAATTCTGTGAGCAATGATTGATTATTTCTTATTCATTAGATGATTCTATCCTTGAATTCAAATTATTTTTTAGCTGAGGCACTAAAAGAGTTTGGCAAGATGATTGACACTGTGGAAGATGAACGAGACAGAATGGTAAGTCAGTTATTATAAATCATCTTGTTCTTTAACAAGTTCTTGTCATGTACATGTACATGTAGTGTCTTAATGGCTAATTTGTGGAGCATGAGGTCACACGCGTGGGTTTTAACCAGGCCACTGTAGGAAGTTCCTTGTAGGGTGGGTCCTGTATACTCTTGAAGGGGGTCAAAGTTATTTGCATGAGCCCACAATCCACATGGTCAGTTATTTGATCCATGATGATGGCTGAAATTGTACTAAAAGAGCTATGTTTGATATATTGAACCAATGGATACAACAAGATATGTCGGGAGTATAAATGGGTATTAGCCAGTTATTATTAGCAACTTGTCAAAATATAGGGGCCGCAGGGCTCACGATTACCTTTTTAACACATTGGGCTACCTGTGAGACATACCAACCCAAACATAGTGATATACATGGCAGATTTTACTGACTCAAACTAAAATTATTTTTTAACTGCAGCTACTGTGGTGGAAACTGTCCAACCAAACTTTTATATTGTCTGAATAGTTTTTCAATACAGAAAGACAATTTGTCTGAACACCAAAGTGACTTAAGTTAGCTTTTTAATGTAAAGATCTTGTTTGCAGATCTTGTTTCCTTTAAAACATGCTTAAAATTGTAAAACATATGGATCTGTGTGTTTTCTTTTGGCACAAATAGACTCTCCAGGAATGCTTTAACATGGAATGAACGCTCCATGGTACATTGCTAAGCATTCTTATTACCTCACGTATGGCTATAAATTTATTAGCTGAATGCAAATTGCTTAATTAAATGCTGATAATTGTCCAACCATATTTACAATGTGTTTGGCAAAAATAGTGATTTGACCTATGATAGTATTTCAAGATGAGTAGGAATGCTTGTGGTCACTTTATGTTGCATGTGTAGTTGTAGTCACTTCACCAGCACTGAATTTAACTATTTTAGACTTCTTTCATGGTGTAGAAATAGCATTTTTCCTCTTCTATTTTTCATCTTATATGTGAATTTGTGCTTCAGTTTTCTTGCTGACCTGTAGGTTATTTCTATTTAATGCTGATGTTAACTGGCTGCCTGGCTCTGCTAGCCCCTATGGTTATTCCAGGCAGCTAGTACTCTAATTTTTACTTTTAGTAGTTTCATTGTTGTAATTTTTTTATTTTGAGCAAGACTGAGTACAAATAAAGATAGATAGATTGATTCATTGACTGATGCATTACTGAGTTGAGTTAATTGCCTCATTACACTTGTTTGCCACCAGTTAAATCATGCAAATGCCCAGCTGATTATACCACTGGAAACATTTAGAAAAGAGCAGATTGGTGGAGCAAAGGTACAAAAGCTCTTTTGTGTTTACATTTATTGTTACATGATTCTTGTCTGGCAAGGTTTGATTCTTAGGTTCCTTTGAAGCAACATAAAAATATTGACATAAACGAAACTTGTCCAAAACCTCTGTTTTCTTGATAATGCTCTAAAGAAAAAGATTAAATTTTAATTTTGTTTGGTACATGTATTACATTTTAATTCCTGACAGACTGTTTTTTTCTTGTAGGAGGAAAAGAAGAAATTTGATAAGCAGACTGAAAAATACTGTTTAGCAGTACAGAACTACTTGAATCTGTCTTCAAAAAAGAAAGATTCATTTTTGAATGATGTAAGACCATGTTTACTTGAATAACATCCATCGCTAGAGTAATGGCTCCACTTGAATAAAATTATTACCTCCTTTAGGGGATATTATTGAAATAGTTTCCCTCAAATAATCTGCCTCATTCTCGAATACACGATGTAGTTGCTATTCTTAAGTAAATCAACGACCCAAGTTGATTCAATCTGGGTTATGTCCCTGCCTCAAAACATTTACCAAGCACTGTGACAATTCTTAGAGTAATTACAGTAACTGAAACTTGTTGCTTTGAAATGACTATGAATTATAACAAGAGTACATTTCACCCTGGATATCATTGGGTATCATTAGGGGAGCAGGAGTAGTGCAGTGGTGAGAGCCCTCGCCTCATCAACGTGGCCCGGGTTCAATTTTGGCGCGATGCCATACATGTATGTGGCTTGAGTTTGTTGTTGGTTCTTGCTTTGCTCCAAGGGTTTTTCCCCCTCCACAAAAACCAACTTCTTAAAATTCCAATTCAACCAGGATAGAAGAGCCACATGAAAACCAGCTAAGACTGATGTGGTTTCTTCTCTAAATGTTGTGATTTATTTATTTATTAATTTATTTGTCATTGTCCTGGATATTTGATTAACTCATTAGATATGTTGTTTCCACACTCAGGCGGATACCCAGCTTCAGAATGAGAAACGCTCATTTCACCAAACAGCTCTAGATTATGTTGTCAAACTTCAGGAAGTTAATGAGAAAAAGAAGTTTGAATTTGTGGAAACTGTAAGTTGATTTCTAAGATGACATTTAATTTCTTTTAACCCATTGACGCCTGAATGAAATTGCCCATGACCTACCCCTAATTCCTACCCAAAATTTCGCAGACGTTCTTCGTTGTGTGAGCCTCATGTTCAAATTATTCTTCACGCTAACGGGAAAGCTTGAGTTTTTGCCGGCCGCTTTTGCAGTCATTTTAAAGCCCGTGGCTTTATCAATTGTTTCAAAAGTTGAATTCAGCGCCAAAGTAATAATGTACATTACCATTTGTTTCTTAAGTCCAAAAAGCTGCTTTAAATCTGTGATCTGTTGTCAAAACTTACTTGAAAGTGCTCCGATCTTCATGTTTTTGCGGCGGTTGTAGGAAGAAAAACTTCTTCACTAGTAAGTTTTGAGGACTCTGTACTCCTTGATCCTCCATTCTGAGGCCACCTAAACATTGATTTGTATTTTTCCTTTCTATTTTATAGCCCAAATCAGTAATTTATCTGTGTTAGGAATGAAAACAAGACCTTGGAAGTTTTAAGATTTGGCTTGCAACGCGCCATGATTACCTGCACTTTTCGAGCGCACGATTTTAAGAAGAAAAAAAGTCTTTCTAGGACCCCTAAAGTCCTCTGAAAATATGCTCAGAAAGTCCATTCTGATTGGTTTATTTGTACTCAAGAACAATAGAGCAACCGGAGAACCAAAAATTCTTCAGGGAGGGTAGGAAAGGCAATTGTCCCCACATGCTTTTTTCGGGCGGTTATGGGTGACACAGGGAAATGGATGGTTACGGGCGGCACAGGCGTCAATGGGCTAATTACACCATAAATTATAATGTTCTGCTAAAAATGAAATGTTTTCTTATCTTCACTTGAAATCAGGTTTTTGCAAAGATATAAAAAACCTCAGCTGCTTGCAGTTTTTTTTAAACAGTAATTTGAATTGTATTATTTCAATCTAAGGTACCATTATAGTGGCACGATATTATATTTAGTATTGTTTGTATGTGGCTAGGACCATAACTAAGCATCTGCTTACAAATGGTGTCCATCTGTAGGATGTGTCTGTTAGGTGACATTTGACCATATAATATTGTCTTATTTTTCTTTCAGCTTTTATCTTTTATGTATGGACACATTACTTTTTATCATAGCGGTAAGGATTTCATAGTTTTGTGTTCATTGTGCCAGTGGATTTTTCCAGAGTTAAACAATAATTGCGTTACTAACATTAACTATTTCTTGTTAAAAAATCTACTCCTCTGGTGTTATTTATATTTGTTTACTAAACTTTTGTTTCCATCAGGCCATGAAGTATTTAATGATTATATGGATTTCATGAAAGATCTTCAACTCAGACTTCAAAATGTGAGTACAAATTCTTGGTCAAAACATGTAGATGTAGATCCTTACCCTACATACATGTATTCTGACTTAGTGTGAGAGCTGGACATCTTATTCTTCGGCTCAAATGTTATGGCGCGTCATAACGATCAGCTCAGTCAATACCCCGTGAAATTGACCTGAAATTGTGTTTTCTTGTTGTTAATGCTGTTGTTACATTATTCATGGTATTTTTTCATATATTTTTTTTCAGACCAGAGAGAGATTTGACACAACAAAAATTGAAGCTGCAAGCCTGATGAGTCGGGTGCAACAGGTAAACACCACTTTTCGGCTACTTGTATTAGTAACGCATTTATCCACAATACAGCTACAAACTATACATTGTTATATACCAGGAGCATGTCTATATACAGAAAAACTTTGCCTAAGGTTTGAATGTGCAGGCCAAAGACCCAAGGATTTTAGGTTTCTAGAGTGCACACATTTATATTATCTAAAGCTCTCTCTTTTCTCTTCAGAAAGCCCTAAGTGGTGAACTTCAGTATCGCGGAGCCCACACAAGACAAGGGTATCTCGGTGTCCAAAAGAAAGGTACAGTATCTTCATGACCATGAAAATAGCTAAGGCTCTGGGCATGGATTTGACTTTTACATGTTGCTATTTATGTACTTTTTTTTNGGGGGGGGGGGGGGGGGGGGAATTGATGTAATGGTTTTAGTCCAGATATATATATATTTAATGACCAAGTAATAATTGCTGAAACACCAACTGATCTGCTTTCTTATGTGGCCACTTTAGGTAGCCTTGGTACATACACGTGGAATAAACATTTTTGTATGTACACAAAGGAAAACAAGATTTTAACAATGATCCCGTACACACAGACCCAGGGAAGACTGGTAGGTGTTCGATGATGTGGTCAATTACTTATAATTATGTACATTTTACTTGGTGTATTCTGTGAGAGAGCTTAAGCAATGATGACGGCAACCTCAGGGACAATACCTGGTAGAAAATGAATTTATATTGAATGTACCTTTGAACTTTGCAATTGTCCCAATCTGTACAGCATACCTATTGGTCTCAGAACTTGCTCAAGCTAAGTATGTAACGCCAGTGTTCAATTCCAAATGAAACTATGAAGAATTAGCTGCCATCATTTGCATTCTCCAAAATATGCCAAACTTAGTCATTTCACATTATTATTTTGCAGAGAATGGCTAAGAAATGTACAAAGATTTATAATGCACGTGCACAGCCACTGTTCTGCTCATTAAACCTTTTGTTTGGTGGCATTCTCATGGCCGTTGCTGTCGTGGTTTCTTAAGCTCTGTTTTATCAGTAAGCTGACAACAGATGGATACTTGTTAATTACCTATCTGCAGATGGTAAATGTGGCTAAATATCATTTAGGCAAGGTTAAACTCTAGCTAATGCAGCCAGCTAGCGTTCCTATCCAGCTAATATCATTTAGGCAAGTTAAATATGAGCTTATGCAGCCAGCGGTTTCCGCGTTTGGGAGTACGTGACCTGTGGGGTGGCCGTCAGGGGTTTTGCAGGGGTTTATGGTTCATTGCATAATTGTTGTAGCGTATTCTGCTGATTGTTGCGGATCAGTTGCACTGCTTTGCTCGTGAATCATTGCGGATTCTTGCACCCTCTCCTCCCTCCTGTTTTGCTCTTGGTCAGGGTAAGTATTCTCCAGGTAAGTAGATTCCACTGAATTTTTCAGTGTGACGGTGCTGGTTAGTGGACGCTCATTGGGTGGTTCCTGCTTTCCAGGGTTGCCATGGATATCTCCTAGCGGCTTATGGCTTTGGCACCCCACTAACCTTTTAAGGCACCAGTTCCCAAGCTCATCTATTTGTGATGAGTTTAACTATCTGTTTACTGAAAGCAAATTTGGAAACAGGTTTTTTCATCATAGCAAAAAAAGAGTGCAGATTATTTTTCATGGGCACAACTTAGCAAATTGTTTCAATTTCTGTACTGTGTGCAACATAATGCATAATTCTTATGTAACTAGCTAGAAACTAATCACATGTGAAATCTTGTCTTGTAGAATGCATCAACGGACACAATAATTGTTACATCATGCACCAGGTAGAATAAAAATTAGAAGAGATAATCTTAGTTGACTGAGCATGAGTTACTAGCAAGAATTTAGGGTGTACTTTTGCCGCTGGGTCTGCCGTGTTTGAGACTGAATGCAATGAATAAATATTCCATCGCACTTTTCTTTGATCGGATTTGCAAGATGTGGATGGCCTGTCCAGTAGTTCATGAACATCATAAAAATTAATATAGTTGAACACCACACTGTATTCAGTCAACACTTCAGCGTACTTTGACAAAATGCAATTCACAGCACTCTGTCGTAATGTCATGACGTAGTTAATGTACATGCAAGACTTATAGTTTGGTATTAATTTAATTAATACCAATTTAAGTAATTATTAATTTATGTTTTGTTGTATAGAAAAATGACAGACTCTATAGATAGAAGATTCACTTTTGAAATAACTGCTCTTGAAAGGTATTTATCAGTTATGTTAAGTACAATCAGTTTCCAATTTTCCATATGTTAATAGATGCAAAAAAGTAAATACAGTAAATTTTGCAAACAAGTGGCAAGGAGGTCTAAAAGTAACCATAATAAATACTTTTATTTGATAAGCCAGCTCTGTTTGAGTGGCGGTGTAATTTCTTCGTTTCTATTTACAGTTAGGTTAGTGTACTGGCATCATGCACTCACACTTTCAATAACGACAAGTTAGATATAGCAGGAAGGTTACCAATTAAAATCTGTTTTCATCAACGAATATTGCTTTACAGCAATCAGTCTTTTTTCATTGTCAAAGGGGAAAGGAAAGTCATCCACCTCAGGATATTGTCTTGATCTAGTACCAAATTCTCAGAACCTTTGCTATAGGAAAGATGTAGAAGTCAGAGTTTTCTTTTGCTGTGTCTTGGTTTGGCGTCACAATTCTTTGTAACATTACTTTTTTGGAACAGAAATCAACCCATTTTATTACAAGCACAGGATGAAGAAGACAGAAAATTATGGTTAGAAGCCATGGATGGCAAAGAACCTGTAAGTCAACCTTAAAGGTAGTGAGAATGGTCTTACGAACTTGGGTCTGCATTTAGGTGGCATTTACATGTACAGTTACTCTCAAACGTCAGCTACCAAATCTCATCTGACTTATCACTAGGTGCATCTCTCACTCATGCAAAGAAACAATACTCGTCAAATACAAAACTATTCTTGTGAGGTGGTAACTTACATGTACCTCTGAGCGGTAATGTGGATGGTTGATGCTAACACTGCAACGTGTAATTTTTCTTTCAGCTGTATGTGGACTCTAATAGCCTGCCAAAGTACAAAGACCGTAAGTCTGTTGTTGTTGTTGTTGTTATTATTATTATTATTATTATTATTGTTATTATTATTATTATATCATTACTATATTGTTATTAATAATAATATTATTATTATTATTATTATTATTATACCTGATGTAAAGTGCTATTGATCTTTTGTTGTTAATAGTGCTGTATAAGAAATATATGATTAATTATTAATGTACTTCAAGTTGTTGTTTAGCTTTTCTTTCAGCTCTGTCATGGCTATGCTCCTCCAGAATCTTCTGTCACCATTTGCCACTGTCCTTTCTCAATAATTAACAAGACGTTTTTTCATTTTTTCTTTATTTCCTTGCAGAGGAAACCAGTGACCTTGAACTTACATTTATCATGAAATGTATTTCAGCAGTGGAAAAAAGAGGTTAGTTTCAGTGTTTCGTTGTTTCATTGCCTGAAAATCACAGGAAACCAACATTTTTACCCCACTGCATCATTTGTAAAGAATTTTGTCAAACTGAGATTAATTTTGTGTATATACCTATGTTTTGCTGTTTTTAGAAGTGTTTTGTCAAGCAATGTGATCATTTTGAATGAATGAATTACACTTCTTTGTTATTTGACTCAGAAGTTTTACCTGTAGTTAATGCTACCCTCGAAAAATAGAGTTGTTACTTACTTACTTAATGGTATTGTTTGTGGATGAGAGAGAGTGATAGGAAAAGATTGTCAAGGTTTTATTCATTGCCCATTTGATTTGTTAATTGCAGGAATCACAGACCAAGGTCTTTACAGAATAGTTGGTGTGGGTTCTAAAGTTCAAAATCTTCTTTTACAATGTATTGATAAGAAGAAAGCTAAGTCAGTTGACCTTGCGAATGAAGAATGCGAGTGGGAAGTGAAGACTATCACCAGTGCCCTCAAACAGTACTTAAGGTTAGTTTATAGTTAAGGATTAAGATGCTATCAATCATGCAATTAATCAACCAGTCAATCTTTATTTGATTAGTAGATTGAACTATTAGGGGCAGCTGGTGGGCTGATGTGGACGTACAATAGAACTGTTGGATACATGTACATGAACTGTCAAGTACTCATTTATAACCTGAGATGAATAAGAAATCTCTCTCAGAAGTAGCTTTAGAAAACTGAAGTTAAGGGCATTGAAACTAATTATATAAGAGATGGATAAATCAAATTTATTTGCACAAATAATATCTCGGAGCCCTCTACAGAAGTCGAACCCATGTTGCTTGTTCTTAACATGTACACTGAGCTGTGGGAAACTTGTGGTGCCCAGCAAAGCAGTACATTTACTAGGTTCTTTTGTGTAACATATGCAAGGCTCAGTCTGGTTGAATTTGACTTGAATTACGGTAGCTTCTTAATTATTTCAGCTTTATCCAAGTCACCATTCTTTCCCAAGTAGGTAATATCTTGAATTTGTTATTGACAGGAACATGCCTGAGCCTTTGTTTACATATGACTACCACGAGCAGTTCTTGGATTCAGTTAGTAAGTACAGCATACTACTGAACCTTTCCTAATGCTCACTTTTTGTGGTCATTGTCTATTTTCTCCTTCAATTTTCAATATGAAATCAATCTTGTAGGCTGTGAGAAAAGATAATTTAATCAACTGAAATATTTCAAGTGGAGTGTCAGGTAGCTTGAAGCTATTTCCAAGTTGTGCTGTTTTAAGTGTACCATGTTAAAAAGGAAAAATCCAGCTTGACTGCTTGACTACTTTTGAATAGCATAACTTGGAAAACTGACACCAAGAAAGGATTGCAAACTTTATGGAGTTAATTCAAGAAAATAATAAGTACGGGTTATCAAATAGTAATTAGGAAATAATTTCACAGGCTTTTTGTCAAAATTCTACTAATTTTCAGAGCCTTCAGGTGCAGGAAATTATTAGAGCTTTGACAAGACATTGCAATTTTGTAATTTCACATGTGAATATATAAATTAACACTGAAATTTCACGCCAAAGTTAAAGAGTAATTTATCTTGTTTAGAAGAGAGTTTCATTTGGACAGGTTTAGATGTTAATGATGTTTTTGTTGTAGAAAAAGACACCTACGAGAAGCGGGTAGAAGCTTTGAGATCTCTCGTGGCTGACCTTCCTGAAGAAAACAGGACATTAATCAGAATGATTATGAAACATTTAACACAGTAAGTCTACTCTTCATAATATGAAGCTTTAAAAATATTTGCTTGATCATGTGCAGTTGGCAGATTAAATGCTGTTAAAAAAAATGATTTTTAGGTCCTTAACAGTAATTGAGAAGCACTTAAAAGTTTTGATGAAAAAAATTGAATCCTGCAGATACCATTTCAGAATATAGATGTTTCACTGTCATGAAATGTTGAGTAAATATTTTTTCTGGTATTAGTCACAGTACATACTTTATCACATCTGTTAATGTTTTGTTTTCTTTCAGTGTGGCTGCTCATTCTAACAAGAATTTAATGGCAGCTAGTAACTTAGGAGTGGTGTTTGGTCCAACATTGATGAAGTCCAGAGAAGAGACGATGGCTGCAATTATGAACTTGAAGTACCAGAGCATTGTTATTGAGCTTCTTATCAATGAATTTAACACAGTGAGTTCATGATATGATATGGATTCTCTGCATGCTTTGCATGCCTATGATTTTATCTGTCTGAACTTAAAGGACCCTTGTCAGCCTCCGCCATTTTCGTTGCTATCAAAATTATTGATATTGCATTGTGAAGCAAAATCGTATTTCTTTACTGTTAGTTGTGTGCCTGAAAGTGTGTTTAATTATATTTAGTAGTTGCATGGTGATTTCCTTCAATTCAACATGCTCCGAACAAAATGTAATAGCAAAACTCTCACATGTAAACAAAAATAAAGATGTGGCTGACTAGGGCCCTTTAATTTCATTGGGTTTTAGATGTGAGGTTTTTTCCCTTGTTATGAATGGGAATGGGTAATGTCACAGAGGTGTTATACTGGGTAACCTGTGGCTTTTCTCCTAGATTTTTGGACCAGACAGTCCAGATGGCTCTGAGAATTCAACAGACACCTTTAATTCGGTGGAAAGCACAGGGAATCCTTTCATTGACGAAAAGGACAGTTCACCAATCGCCAATGAGAAGCCAAAGCCTCCTCCAAAGAAAAGGAACAGTGACGAGACTGGTACCAAACTGAGTGACGGCAAACCTGTGACGCCAACCAAGCCTCTCCCCCTCCCCTCCAAAGCATACCGTGCCCCACCCCCTCCAAACAAGCCAGCTCCAGCGACAAAGCCAAGAGTCAAGGCAATTATTGTGTCAAGTAAGATTTCTTTGTTGTGGTTTGTAAGGTAATACTTTGTATACACTAAAAGGTAAAGTTTGCATGCGAGCCAAGTGGCCCACCAGGCTGGAGCTTATCCCAGTTTCTGTGGCATGAAGCGATTAGAAGTATTTCTACTCTGCCCTGGATGGGATGCTAGTCCATTGCAGGGTTACCACCAGCATTAAGTGCGTCAGTACCCATTTATACACCTGGGTAGAGAGAGGCTTTGTGAGAGTTAAGTGTCTTGCCCAAGAACACAACACAGTGTCCGCAGCCAGGGCTCAAACCTGAACCACTCGATCCAGTGACGAGCGCACTAACCATGAGGCCACTGCACCTCCCACATCCGCAAACAGTACTAAATTCCAAATAAATCAAGGCAATGTGTGTATGAATGCAAGTACAAGAATATGAAATCTTTTTTATGTGTCTTTTTGTTGCTTATGTAAACCCAGATTTTGGAAAAATAGTTCTTCCTCTATAATGCAATCATAAACATAATGTGATCAGCCTTTTAAAAGCAATGTATCTGTGTGTATGTCATCTTTTGGTTATGCTTGTTGAATGAGTGAACTCACTCATTTGTTTTTGTTCTGTAGATGTAAGACAGCTAACTCTTAATTTAGAACTAAGTTAAAATTCATTGAACAATTGGGTTTATACCTTAGCAAACCTCAAACCTTAGCTAGTATCAGTCTTTCTCTTCAAGTCAAGGCTCAAAAATATCAATTCCCCAATTGATTGTTGTACACATCTTTTAATGTTAGATCTCAGAATTTGGTGATGCATATGTGTGTGTTGTGTCTTAGATGATGGTTTTCTTAATTCTCATGGCCTGACTGTTTAAAATTGTATGGATACAGTAAGGAGACATCAGATGCTGATCACTTTTTCATTTGACTCCAGATTCTGAGGATGATCTAAGCAGTTTATCAGAGCCATCAAGCTTGAATTCAACCCCTCAAAGTGAAAGCAAACCGCCTTTCTCGCCCAGGGACTTTTGGAAAGAAAAAGCAGGTGAGCCTGTGGTGGTGAACTGCTACGCAGGACCCGGTACAATAAACTACGGCTCTCCAATGACACCTGTTCGTATACAAGAAGGCATAGTCCAGTCTTGAATACTTAACAAACTAAGTTAAGTCCTAAGAGGCGGGAAGTAGAGGGAGAGGAGAGTGGCAGTGGCTTGGAGGAGCCTTGTATTCTTGGCAACAAAGTCAAATTCATTAGTGTATCTCAAAATTTTGAACACCAAGACTGCACTCCTGATTTTTCTGTCGAAATGGTTTTGATGAGAGTAGAAATCCTGGAGCACTCACTATCTAATCATGTTCCAGGGTTCGTACGGGTCATGGAAAACCTGGAGAGTTACGAAATTTTATAATTTCGTTTTCCAGGCCTGGAAAGTCAGGAAATTGAAGTGTGTGGGTCGTGGAAAGTCATGGAAAAGCAATATGCTTTGTGAGAAAAGAAAGGCAAAAAAATAACAGACAACTCAAACAACCGGTTTTAATTTCAATAAAAAATAGACACTAGCAAGCGTTTTATGCGCCATAATGCAGGAATATACCTTAAATAATAGATTGTTGTAACAATACTTTGAGAACAGCTGCGTAACAGAGATCATGAAAAACTCAGAAAGGTCATGGAAAGTCATGGAATTTTAAAAGCTCAAAAGAGTACGAACTTTGTGTTCGTGAATAAAGCATAGTCACGTCTCGGAGCTCCGTCATTTTGTGACTTCACGCCTTGTCCGTGACTTGTGAAGTTTTGCTATTGTTAATCTATTATTTTTATTTTTTCTTCATTAGGCAAACCAGCCCCACCCCCCAAGAAACCAGAAGTTGTGTGAGTACAATCGACTCTCTCTCCGTCTTTAAAACACAACAACGTTATTTTCCTTTTATAGTTTTGTTTTGAAACAGACAATCCCTGCATGATCCTTGTAGCGCTTCAAGCCACATTACTTGCTTTGCTGCTGATCCAGACAAGCTGTATAAGCTCTTTACTCAATGCTTATAAGTGCAGTCATTTAGTCGCAGTAATGTAGAAGCTGTCTCTGATTTTCTGTTGGGGTCCCTTGTATAGTTGTCGTTTCAGATTACGTTTGGCAGTTGCCTTCAAGTATCAAACTTGGACAGTAATTTTGAAGGCAAGAGGAGTAATTAAACTGACTGTAAAGTCCTGTGTGACTAGGCTACGTAACCGCCGTAAAACGGGGATGGAGCAGGGGAGGTAAAAAATGCGAAGAAAAGGGAAAGGTTCTTCCTCTTTTCCAGTCCCCCCTCCTTACATCTCCGCTATCCCTTCCCCTTCCCCGCTCGCCCTCTTCCTTCCCCACTCTCCATGCCCTTATCCCACCGTCCCTTTTCCATACTCTTCCCCCTCTTTCAATTCCATTCACTCCCTCCCCATATCCCGCTCTCCGTCTCCCTTCCCCTTCCCCTTCCCTACTCTCCTTCCCTCTTCTGCACTCTCCCACCACCTTTTCTGCTCCACTTCCCCCCTTCTCTGCTCTCCTTCCCCCCTCTCTTTTCTCCTTTCCCGTTTCCCGCGCTCGCTCCTCCTTCCCTACTTTCCTTCTCTCCTCTGTGCGCTCCTTCCCCGTTTCCTGCTCTTCTTCCCCCCCCCCCTTCCCTGCTGTCCTCTGTTTTACACCTACATATGACTGCAGTTTATTTTGCTGTTATGTTTCAGCTTAGCTGCCGTACGTAGCGTGCATGTGTTGTTTTGCTTCATGCTTTTATTTTGCTTGTTTATTTTAGCGCTGAGTTTAAAAGCAGATTTGAAGTAACAGGCTCTTCAAGACCGTTTTCTATGATAGATTCCATGTAAGTCTCCAAGATTTGTCTTTCCCTTTCCCCGTTCGGCAAACTGTTTGCTGAATTATCTGCTTGTTTTACTAAATGTAAAGAAGTTTCTTTGTAGTTTGCCACCGTTTAGACTAGCTTGGACAAAAAAAAATGAGTGTGAAATAAAACAAGAAGTGGCAAACGTTTCAGTTTGGGAATGCAGACAAATTTCTGGCCAGCCTGCCGTTTCTTCACGCCTCTGAAAAAGTGAAATCTGTGTAAAACATTTGGAGACCAAAAAAATTGTGTATGTTTTCAGTGAAATTTCAAATGAATTCTTAACAAGATTTCTCATTTCTTTCAGTCAAATTGTAATGTTTATGGATATCTTCATTTTGTCTTGTGATACATCATTCATTGTGAAATGTTTATGCTGTCTTGAAGAGCATTGTTTGCCGTCTGTCTCTTTGTTTGTATTATTTTTCTTGCTCTTTGGTTTGTTTTCTTGCTCTAAACCTCTTTGTTAATTAAAACACTGCCACTGTACACGCATGTTTAGAATTTGCCTGTAGCACCTTTGCTCCACAAGCCTTAAACTGACAAGAATGCTGCATGTTTGTTTACATATGTTTGTTTATCATAAAACCACTATACCGCTATACCACTATACCACTATACCACAATTCCCGTATTCAAATAGATCTTGAGCAAGTTAGATCACGCTTTTTCGGAAAATTCTAACCTGTGTTAATTTTTCTGTAATAGCACTTAATAGGGGAATCTTTGTTTACAGTATTTGCGTCATTAGCGTAAGCGATATAGTTCCTGATCAAGCTGCAAAAATGCCAGCACTGAATATTGGAAGGGTAAAGGACGATTAACTGTCCGAAGGAGTTTGAGCCCGATGTATTGTATACTTTTTGTGAGACGTGGGTTGGAAAAAAAAATTAATAACTCGAAAAGAATGTATGAGCTCATTAGCGCTTTTGCCACCCAGAAATTCTGCAGGTTTTGAAAGCCAATTTGCCCCTGAATATTACACCCAAAGTGCCACAGATTTCACCAATCACTAAGTTTCACAAGCTCTTTAAATATTTGTTGTCAATTCGTATCTAGCCTTATACCTTCTCTGGGCAAAGTCATATTTTTTACGATAACTGTAGAAGTTCTCGCGCGCTCATTGGCTAATTTTCATTGCTAATAAGCGGACAGACAAATTTATAATTTACCGAACTTGTAAACGAATTCACAACTGAAGATGATCGTTGAACGATCGAAACATGTCTTGTTTTAAACTTAAAGGTGTTGTCCCTTTCTTAAAAATAGTTACTTGCCTGCTATTATCCAGACCATTTACAGACACATTTATAATTTATGCCATGCGTCAACGAGCGAGAGCGGACCATTTGACAATTCGTTATTGTGAGAAACAAATCAGTTGACGTCAGTTTTTCATGCGTCTGTCCTGATATTGACAATGAATTTCATCATAACATTGTCAAAGAAGTCTGCGGATCCACTCGGCCCAATCCACAGCTACTTTGACAATGTTATGACGAAATTCATGATCAGTAACTGGACAGACGCATGAAAAACTGACGTCAATTTGTTAAGTTAATGAGGAAAAACAGAAACAGTTACGTCAGCAACGGTCGCTCTACCCTAGTCTTCCGCCGCTTAAGAAGCGACTGAGATTTCAGACCAAAGAAATTCCTTATTGGTGACGTAACTCTGCAGAAAACCCTGCCAGAAACGCGTTTCTGATTGGTTGCAGGAGTAGCAGCCAATCAAAAACAGTGAACTGTAGAGCTGTATTTACTGTATGTGCTGTAGAGCTATGTTGGAACAGTGGATTTTTTTGGACCGCGGGATGAATAAAGCGCTCGAAGAATGACATTTTTCTCAACAACCAGGTTTTTTTCATTTTTTCTTTCCTCTCTCTTTCTTTCTCTGTTGTTTTTATTGTTGCAATCAGGAACGACAAAGACAACACTCCTGGTATTCGCCGTTTCAGCAGTCAAGGTGGGAGTCTTAACCGGGGGTTACAGTCTTGGGGGACGGGTCCTCCCCCTCTCCCTAGGGAGCCTCCCCCTCATGAGGAGCCGACACCACCGCCGAAAACACCAAAGTAAGATGATTGTTTGTTTATCTAATTTTGACTCGCTTTGAATGAAAAGGGACAGACGTAAAATGCAATGGAAAAAATAACGAATTCTTCTATCTATAACTTTTTGTGAACACATTCATCGTTCGTGGTTGGCCTCAATCTTTACCAATCCTAACCATCCTCAGTCCTTTTTGGTTTATTGTTGCTTATTTTGCTGTTTTTCTACCGTAGTAATCTATTATTTTGAGTCCTTTTTGTTCCATTTGAAGGTAAACATTGTGCATGTCAAAAACGACTTGGTATTTCGTGTCCTTTTGTTACCGACAGGAAAGTCAGAACGATATATCCTTGTGTAGCAGAAAACAGTTCCGAGCTTTCATTTGATGCTGGTATGGTCATTTCAAATGGTAAGCTGACATTTTTGTAAAACGGTCATATGTAGGGCGTGAGCACAAATCCCACCCAGGTCAACAGGTTATTTTTATTGACCCCAGGCTGTGGTCCCCAGCTTTCTTTACAACTGGAAGAAGAGAGACCCTGGGAACGAGGTTGTTTCCTTCGTACTTTTCAGTACGTTTAAATGTCAAATTTAAAGCCATAATGTCCTTAGGAGACTCGAAAGAGTTAATTCTTTCATTTCCAACTTTTGAAGTGTGTTTTTTTTCCTTTTACTCGCTCCTCGCCACAGGCAGCAATCCAAAATTCTCGTTTGACATATTAACCTTCACACATTGATTTCCGCTTCTAACGTCTCAATCGCTCTGATTTTTCTATAGTGCGGCCTTCCAAAGAACCTGGCTGGCTGGAGGGAACACTGAACGGTAGAACAGGACTTGTACCAGAAAATTACGTTGAGTCAATAACATAGCTGACTTTTAAGTTACTAGAGATTTAGGATATTTTAATTTGTAATCATGAAGATAGCAAGTCCTTTCTATTCAAAATTGTATTCGACAATACTCATACTTGTCAATCCCCTCTGTAATGTCATGGGAAAGGGATGAAATTCCATTGATAAATGCGAGACTGAGGCACCAGACTGAATCCGGGAAGAGTTTACAGTTGTCACGTGTATGACACGCGTGTGACATAGAAGGGCACGTGTACAGTGTCACCTGATTGGTTAAAGAGTCACGTGACTCACGAGTGCCTACCACTTGTCAGGCACTGAGATGATTGAATATTATGGGCTCAGTTTAGGCCTCGAATAGACAAAAACTCGAGCGAGTGTAACCTAATTTAGCCTCATTTATAACGTGTGCAAACCAAGTGACAAAGATCTGGTCCATTAATTTTCTTTTCTCCCAAGGAGAGACAAACTGCCGTTCAAGAACTGACAATTTCTAGTGTTGAACTCAAGAAATTGTAATTGGATGATTTTTTTTTAGACGAAGGATTGTGTGGAAAGCAATTTATAAATCTCTAGGTATTTTTAACTCCGTTTTTTTTTTACGTTGCTGGTCAACTATCGTTTGTAGTTTGGTTGGTCGCTGTTTAGTCCTGGAAATGTTAGTGACTAACAGTCTAAGGCCCAGTCCAGATTACGTCTGGGAAATTTGAAAACGCAGCTTTATTGCTACGGTTAGACCTACCGTCCACACTAACCCGTCACCAAAACGGAGCTTTTCCAAGACGCTTTTCAAACCGGAGAAATTTGAAAACGCAGCTTTATTGCTACGGTTAGACCTACCGTCCACACTAACCCGTCACCAAAACGGAGCTTTTCCAAGACGCTTTTCAAACCGGAGAAATTTGAAAACCCAGCTTTATTGCTACGGTTAGACCTACCGTCAACATTAACCCGTCACCAAAACGGAGCTTTTCCAAGACGCTTTTCAAATCGGAGGAATTTGAAAACGCCGGTTTTGCGTTTTCGAGTGGACCGAAAACATTTTGAAAACGGAGCTTTACGAAAACGATGACGTCACTACAATCACGTGATTTCCCTGTCCGAGTTTTCCAAAACCACAAATCCAAAATGTCCGCTGACTGTTGCGTTGTCAAATTTCTCCGACGTAGTGTGAACGGAAAACGTTCGATGCGTTTTCAAAATGAAAACGCCGCGTCAGATTTCTCCGGCGTAGTGTGGATGCGGCCTAAATACTGTGTTTGCTGTAATTTTAAGACAAAGTACAAAACTTATGTGATTTTTTTTTTTTTAAAAAATGAGAGTCACGAAGAACTGCTTAGTAATGGAAGCCGAAGTCTCATTTGAGCCCCTGGTCGGTTTCTCCTTGCTTGTAGATGTTATTAAAAGGTAATTTTATTACTGAAATAGAGTACAATTCGGTACAGGTATAAATATATTCATGAGGGGTGTTACGAGATACATTGGTTCTCACTTGGTGGTGCAGCAGCTTTTCGGATATCATGCAGTTGGTTATCTTTTGACGGCGCAAAAGATGATTGAGTCGACCTGTTTCAGTCGTTTGGCTTGCTAGTGTAATTGAATGACGTTATCTCGAAACCGGTAGGGAAACGAAGAATAGTTCAATATGGCGGAAGTTTGAAATAACTGATAGTTAATGACTGATGAAAGTTATCCAATGGAAAATGACTTGAGTTCGAGATAGCGGGAAATTAAAGATAACAGTTTGATATAACGAAGCTCGACTGTATTTCCTTTCATTCGATCTGAACTAGTTTCTTTCCAGCAAAGTTAGAAATAGCGCTAACATGTCTTCTTGAAACAGCGTGACAGTATGGCGTGACGGAGTGATGTGTTTCAACCATGTACCACCCCTCATGAAACCTTCCTTTCAACACGGCTGTCACAAGCTGTATGTATAATTGCGTCGTAAAAACAGGGCCTGATTAGTAAGTTCTTAAGAGTGTTGCAAAGTAGTTCAGCTCTTAAATTACGTTGACCTGATTTAAGTAAGAATTACATGACTACTACAGGGGCTACTCTGATAATTATTCTGATTATAAACGGGGAGCTGGCTTCTTGTGGTAATCAGGTTGAAAAATCTTGCGCGACAGATTTTTCTGGCGTCACATAACGGACGTTGCGCGTTAGGTTACAGTTACGGTTGGTGTGACTGAACAGCACGTGATCTTTCTAGCTAGTAGGCATTCTCTACTGAGGAGATGATGATTAAGAAATCGATTACCAACGCTCTATCACAATTTTCGAGATTTTTCGCGTATTTTTAAGCGATCTCACGGTGAAACAGCAGGTGCAGAAACCGAATGCGGTCACGATGTATAGTGAGGCTCGTGTTTGGGAGAATTGCCCTGTTAGATCATCCTCTCTTAGCAACAGATAGATGGCTTAATTCTTAGATGATATCGAATTAAACCTTGTTTTTGCTTGAAAATTAATGTACAGCATCCCTTTGATGTTCGGCAGGATTTGACCTGCTACTTAGTTAAAAGTATGTAATTAAGTATAATCTTATAATTGGATTGACTAAGGTTCGCTCTCCCTGCTAAACAGCACTAAGCGGCAAACTTAACGCAGAAACAATTTACATACTTGATAATACTGTGTATATGTAGAGAAAAGAAAGAAAATATATTACAAATCTCTTTTACCGTTTCTGTAACATCTCTTCTTTGTAGATGAAGGAAATTGTAGATTCTATCAATTGTAGCTTGTGATTTATACGGCTGTACTCTCGGGAAGAAAAAGACAGAGAGTATTTCAAACAAATATTTTCAAATCTCGGATGAACTCAAGACACTGTAGTCCAGTTTTGGCCCTCTCTCTGTCACGCAACGTTACACTCTCTCCGAGAGCGTAATGTTGCGTGACAGAGAGAGCCAGAACACTGAAGAAGGCGACCGTTCTGGTTTCTACGGGGCGACGCGCATTTCATAATAGACCATATTCGTATTCTCGGTATAGGACTGGAACTAGCTTGCAACTGAGGCTAATGCGGGGAGTCTTTTCAAATGCAAATGACATTAATCTCTTTAATGATATTCCCCCGCATGAGCCTCAATTGCAAGCTAGTTCCAGTCCAATACCGAGAATACGAATATGGCCTATTCACACCGGGAAAAACGAGTCTCACTTCCAGGGTCATTGCAGGAACCCTAACGACCCAGAAGTTACCCCAACAACCAATAGAGATTTGCGCCTGCGCTCACCTCGCACGGCGGCTTTTTTTATAATGAACGTTTCGAACCACATCAAAATAATTCATCACCTCAGACTTCACATACCTCAGCCTGCGAACAGAGCCTCCTGTATCTCTTATACCTATGCAATCGTGTGATTCGTGTACCGATACAGCTGTCTGTGGTGTTTTGCATAAATTTATGGCTGTTTTTCCATCGTGGAACATGGAGATGGAAAGAGGAAAAAGGCTCTAATAATGGGCTCACATGGATAATCAACGTTTGAGTTACTTTTAGGCGTAAAAAAAATTAATGCAGGGAAGCCAGATTTAATTTTGTTTTTACCTAGTTGGGTACTGCGCAAACAATAAAGCATCTGCTCACGCGTGGAATAAACGTGCGTGTCCATAGCTGGCATTTGACAGTTTAGTCAAAAACGAAGAGTTATATTGCCTTCGTTTAACGCGTTTTCAGTGGTTATTGCTTTGTTTTCAGTAACTTGTCCGTTGACTTAGTCCTTGAGCTAGGTATGAAATATAAAGCTACATTTTGGTAGCAGTCGTATGATTTTGACGCTCTCCCATGGGTGGGGCATTTTCACTTTTCTCACGCCCCCACCTTGGGGATTTTGTATTTTATATGCCTCAGCTCACAGTCATGACAAAAGTATCAAATGCCCAGAGGAAGGTAGGGGATGGGGGTGAGGATGAGCGGGCTTGAAATTGACACAGCCATGAAAATAATCAGTTATACTGATGTAGCTCTTATTCGTGTGTGTGTGTTTCGAAACATGCACAGAAAACAAAATTGAATTGTGCAGCAGCAAAAGAAATGAGCTGAGAACTGCAATTTAGGACATTCCTTCTATCTACAAACGCTTTGAATAACTTTCGTGAGTGGTTCTCGCTGAGGTTGCCAGCCTTTTTTTTTTTTTATTTTTTAAATGGAAGTCAAAATTTGAGGGTAATTTATTTTCTAGTATGTTCGTGTTTGTTATAGGACGTTTTTCACTCACGTGGCCAGGAATCATGCAAATTTATGGAAATTTACCGATGAGTAGTCACGCTTAAAGGTCGTGAGTACCGTGTGCAAGCCTGGGAACAAGTTAGGCGACTTGCTAAAAATTTGGTTTGTTTCACCGGCCGGTTGATAAAAATTCGAGAACACAGTCACAGCAGCTAATCAGCTATGCCAATCGGAAAGAAGACCGTACATTTCGTTCGCCATTATCAGTCTACATGGAACGAAGCACAACATGTTTTTAAATTGCCACGTGAACACAAGGAAATGCAGTCCGAAGCATACTTGGATGCACCATTGAGCGCTTATGGCGAACAGCAAGCGACGGACATGAAGCAGAAAATATTGGAATTAAACGCCGAAGTCGCCATAAGTTCCCCGTACAGGCGAACCATTGAGACCTGCCTGCGATCCTATGGGAGCCAGAATGTTGTTATTTCCCACTGGTGCGGCGAGAGAGGGGAATCACTGTGCGACATAGGCAACACAAAGGACAGCCTCGAGAAAATGTATCCAACGCTTGATTTTAGTGATCTGCCGCCAAACGTTTGGTGGTACGTGGAAGAAAGCTTGAAAGATCAGCTAACGGATCAGAGGAAGTGCTACGAGTGGATAGTGACCAACGGGACCTTTTTAATGGGTGAAACCGACGAACATTTTCAGCGAAGAATAGAGCAGTTTCACTCGTTTCTGCAAAGCCGAAACGAGAACAACATCTTGGTGTTTTCACACAGTATGTTTCTTAGAAACTATTTACATAAATATTTCGGGCGACCACTTACGCAAAGCGTTCTAAATGGCTCCATAAGTACGTACTCTTTGTAATTGGACCGAGTGGAGTATAATTCACAAAGAAATAGAGAATGCGATCTGAGGGTCGAGAACATAAAGAATGTTCCCAATTTAACATTGCATGTTATTTCTTTATTTATGACGCCGCAACATGCATATAAATTATGTTAATGGTTGATTATCAGAGCAGCGTGAACACTAGAAAGTTATTTTGTCATACAGCTGTAAGCTGCAATCCCTGTGGTGAAATACGAAAGCGCGCGAAGTCTAAAAATAGAATGCAAATTATTGGAACCCCGCGAGAGTCAGACAACATAAGCATGCTCAGAGAGAAATAGAAGGTAAATGAACGCCAAATTTTCTCTTCAAAAATTGCTCTAGGAACACTTGCTTACGCGCTTGAAAAAAGCTTCAAATCTTGCACCATTCCATTTTGTTTGTTTGTCAGAGTTATGACGTCACTTGCGTGCTTCACCATTGATTGGTCATGACATGCTCACGCTCTTCGGATGTTTAAGTAATTGTATGACTGTACGTAAAGTAATATGTATGTATATGTTTTAATTTTTATTTTTTATGCAAGGGCATTGAAGATTTACTCTTTGAGTGATCTTTGAGAATTCTTCTAAAATTGCAAAAACTGGCTGTTCAGCCCTCAAGTAGCCGTTAGCTGGTTAGCCTCCAAGCTGAAGTCGATTAAAGAATGAGAAATTGACAATGTTTTTTACTTCTGCTTGGGGGCCAATCAACTTCTGGTTGGGGGCTAACTGGCCAGGGGTAATTGCAGTTTTACAACTGCGATGATCAATCATATCTTTTTATCTTTGTCCACAGTTCAAATATATGGTCTTTCATATATTCACTTGCAGTATTAAACTATCCTAGCTTTTATATATTTTAAAGCCTTTTTTTAAAAGTAATAAGTTTGGAATAAAACTTTTTGTAGGAAACTTCACATTTTTTTTTTCTTTACTATTAGATCTCGTACATATGTGAACTCACTCATGTCAGCTTGAAACCAGTCTAGTAAAGTAGTCTAGGACAAATTGCTTTCATTTTCCTTATGAAAACCGTAGGCTCTATTGTTATTTTTTGAAATCAAAGAATGCAGTTATGAGATTCAGTGACTGTCCAGGTATTCAGTGTCTGTAACAAGTGACAGGAATGGAGATGCTAGACTAGATATTTGGTCTATCACGGCTACAGTACAAGCTTTTATTATTCTCACTTGAAACATAACTACTGAGGCTCAAAAAACTCTTTTTAATAACTTTTGATTTCTAATATTTTCTCCATTCTCTCTTTGGATTGTCAGAAATCGAGTGGCTGAAGAATAAAATAATGAACAAATTAACCTACCTGCCTTTATATCTGCATTTGTTGTACCACAGGTCTCCCAAACTACTAAGTTTTTAAATTTTTAGCAATTACATGTATTTGTAAATAATTATTTATAAAGGAAAGTGAACATTAGCTTTTAATACATATTTTATTTTAAGGAGTATGTTTTTTTAGATAGGGTCCACCTCTTAAACTCCCTTTTAGGGTGTTTTTTTTTTGTAACAATTTCCAACACTTTCTAAGACTTAAGATTTTGATGAGTCATTTTTACCACTTTTCATCAGTTGATGCTACAGTCATGGTATCACGAAAACCACCCAGTCATTGGTGAGCAAGTTGTTATTATCTTCATGGCACAAAGGTCACCATAGCAACAGCATGACCTGGTAAAAGCAATATGTTTTTGCTCAATCAGAATATTTTGCATAAATTTTAATTTCCTGCATTAGAGGCTACAGTCACGGATCCGTGACGGTCATAATTGGTAAGACACGTGACGGACCCGAGACGGCGGAGACCCACATGAGATCTGACGGTAGGGTTAAATCCGTGAGAACTCCTAGAACAGTAGTTCAACCAATCAGACAATCCGTGACGACTCCCTCACTGTTTATAGTTAAATCCGTGGCAACTTGTTATCAAATTTCAAAGAAGGAGATAGGAATTAAGTCGTCGGCTTATTAACGTCAGCGGCAAAAACCCGAGGAGAATGTGCCGAGTGGAAAGCTTCCCGCTGGCAAAGTAATGGCGTATTAAATGGAAACGGTTGGAAATACTGCAAAAGAGGTTTATCATTTTACTAAGCATCCAAAAACATGCTCTAGTCTAAAGATAGGGGTAAAAAGTGTCGAGTTTTGAAAATGTTGGATTAACAATGGACGCACAAGGGTCCACAAGGCACCTTCTCTGCGAACATTTTTGCCCTATATTTTGAGGATCAAAAAAACGTTTTTCTACATTTCCTCTCAGTCAGGCCGTTAACAGTATCTTTTTTATTTCTCAAAAAATGTACCACAAGTTTGGAAGAAAAAAAAAACAGTTGTATAACGAGCGCCATATATAACTGGGTGTTTCAACGAGGCTCTACTATCATGCCATGACGTCACAGTTCCATACGTTGCCAAAATAACCCGCCTCCACTTCCGGTGACCGCCAAGATGACGTCCCGGTACACAGGACGACATTTAAACCAATCAGATGCGAGTAGATAACTAGTGCGTCCAACACAGAGTAAACCCGTAGGGCCAAAAAACAAATACGACGTTCAATACTAAATTCTACATTTTGTCTAATTCCGTTGCTATCTTCTGTGAAATTTGCTTTTCATTCTGCTAGTCTTCCTGTACAAAGGCTATCATTCTGCTCTCGCAAAATAATAGTCTGCGATTACTGAAATACAAGTGGTTGACACGAAAACGAAAATGTACTTACTACGTAAAAATAGAGACAAGAGCGGTTTTTACTATTATTTCTTCGAGTGCACCCTAAAAGATACTTCGGCAGCAAAAAACAGTGGCGTTTCGTCATGAACGCACTAAGTGAGACCAGAATCCTTGATTTATACCGAAGAGCATCCGCGACCTTTTCATATAAAAAAACCCTAATTGACCACTCCCCTAATGGGGCTTTTCAGGGTCAATGAAACCAGATGATGACACAATTCAAATAAACATAACATGGTTAAAAATCCCAGCTGGCGGGAGGCAGACCAGTTGGCTATTTATAAGCATGACCGAGGAGTTGAACTGGGGTCTACTGAAAAAAAAACAAACTACAGCTAAGTGGTCAGAGCGGGACTTGAACCCGCGACCTCCAGATTTCAAGTCCGGCGCGCTAACCACTCGGCCACGCTGCCTCCGCACCATATGGGAATGCCTCCCCGGGAAACCCTCAAGAATCAGCTCCACGCTTCCGATTGTTTTTAAAACAATGAAAATGAATGGTTAACGTTGGAGCTTGTACATACGATGAGCCGTGAACCCCTCCTCCCTTTGAAAAGTAAATGGCAACAACACAGTCATTTGTAATTGATTTTATTCATGGGGTTGGTTATTTGTGTCCATGTCAGCTGATAGAGCTGTTTCACTTGACAGTTGAAATAATTCGCTGCTCTGGTTTTGCATTACTACCACACGCGATTGGCTGAAAATACTCGCGACACTTTGTCAACCAATCAGAAGTAAAACCAAGTTTTGAATGGTTTGATGGATTGTCTACGTCCTTTGTAATTGGCCAGAATGATTACAATCAACGATATATTGATCACGTGATACGCGATAATGTGGTTGCCGTTCCACCCACCACCCCACAGTCAGACAAATTCTCTGACGTTACTGAATTAATTCTATAAAAATATACCAGCAGGACTGGGGTGGAGGGATAAAGGAACAATTTCTATATGATTGGTATATTTTTACAAATGAAGAGAAATTCTTCCAGATGGGATTAAATATTAAATGGATAGTTGAGGTCCGATTATGGCAATTATTGTATGATAGACTATTATTTACATGTTTTAGCACGCATGCGTAAGCGCTCTTATTTAAAACACAGCCCTAGAGCAAAAAAAATTGCTTCAAATTAATTTATGCAACGTTCATTCACGGTTTTATCAGTGATTTATAAAATTAGTCAGACTTTTAATAATAATATCCAATTGGGCACACGGGTAAAATAAATTAATATACTGGATGCATAAACTTCAGGTAAACGTATTTTCAGTCTAATTGCCACCTATAATAACTTGAAGGAGCTAAAAAACGATTGAAATTAATCGGCCATGTTTCATCTCTTCCAAAATAATTTCCAAACCGCATATAATGCTTGCCTCTCAATAAAAGAAGGCTTACAAAACGTGGGACTCGCTTCCATTTTTCTCCTTTTTCTTTTCTTCAATATAAAAAATTTTTCATCACTTTTACACTGATTACGCCAATAGCCATTTCTTCACGGTTTCTGTCCTTCAAGTCTCAACATGAAAATATCTTACAGAATACTGTTTAGCACATTCTTTGATAGTAATATCTGATATAATAAATAGGAGAAAGTATTATCGACACTTCAAAAAAGCAGCTTTTTCACAACAACTCGCATCAAACGTAATCTAATACTACAATCATGTGTAAATCACGTGGATTTCTATTGCTTTTAGCACGTGTACATCACGTGTCCCGGAGTGTGAGTCACGTTGGCGATTCCCTGACGCCATCTTCGTTTTCCGCAATAGGCGGCAAATGTTGAACTTGACTGACAGGATGAAGCCATGACGTCTGTTGCGTCACGTGACTGCAAGGCAACACAACAAACGAGAGAATGTTAAGTCTGAATCTGACTGGAGTTTGGCAAAGCTATGGGTTTCCTAACAATCATTAGTACTGATGTATGATATGAAATATGTGGATAAATAGTCAAATCATTTTCTGGCTTTAATTTTCAAACAAAATTTCCAAACTCTCAATTCTGATGTCACGACAAATACATCTTTCAGGCGATTTGTTTCAGAAAACCACATGTCTGAATTAAACATGAGACTTACTTAATATAATATCTGACTCCATCTGTGGTATAAGCCTCCTCCCATCCAAACGGAAGTGCTGTGGAATAAACACTGACCTGATGAGCAGAGCTAATTTCAGAGCTCATTGGAACATTGGGAGCTAGAGAACCTGGGGGAGGGGATACTCTGTAAATCATTGGGTGGCGGTGTACCGCTGGAACACTGAAACCCTTGCCCTAGACCATGATCAGCTTGATTTTGCAACCCTATTCTAGGCTGGGCACCAAAAACCCCTACCCTATACCAGACTAGCTATTTTCTATGCAGAAACTTAATCACTATCGTATTTCAACATACGCTGACGAAACCAATATCTTACAAAGTCGCTTCCGAGTTTTAACTTCTATTATACAACTTCGGGTGAAGAACTCTGTTCCAGACCAAATTATTTAGACACTGTCCACTTTCCCGGTAAATTATGCCCTGTCCTAGACCAAACCTGTCTGATTTCTATACCCTATCCCAGACTAAAAAACCACACCCTTCACAGCGGCACATACCAATATAGCTTATATATGGGAGTAACCCCCAAGCTAGAGAACAAGACATAACAACACAGAAAAAATTATCGTACACGTAGCCGAGTATTTTCCAAATCTTACTGACCAATACCTAGACTTTCCGAAAAGTCCTTCGTCTTGTTTATTCAGTACCCGCTGGACGAAGCTCTCGCGACTTCGTCGCTCGCTCGGCCGCTTTGTGACCTTAAAACGGCCGCTTCGCGGCCTAACATATTCTACCCTGAAATTCATGAGGTCGACTTGTGGCAAGTCTAACCAATACCCCGAAGCTTTAGACAGATTTTTATTTTCCAAACAAAAATGGCGCGAGCACTCGCGAGTACTTTGAAAGTTGTGACGTCATTTTAGCGTGATCGGTTGCTTCGCAACTTCTGGATTAAAAACTGCGCACTTCGTCTTGGAGATTGGAATTAGCCACCAACTGGTGCTTGTTACCTCGACTGAAATGAGGTAATGTTACAAGATTGTTTTGTCTACTGTCGACTCAAACAATGTCACTAGATATTTCTCGTGTAGCTGAAGAAGGTATACTTACGTTCTTCTTCTATCAGTGCCTTGACTGACTTCACAGTTTCACGAGCTTCCTTCGCTAGAGAAGCTGGGGTGTACTTGGCATGTCGGGATAGGTAAGATGGCGGTTTAGGATTTGATCCTCCGTCACGACGAACGGACTCTCCTTTACCACGCTGCTGGGGCCTGGAAACAAGCCAAGAGAAAAGGGTTATTTGAACAAACAATTCAGGGCTGAGAAGTAGATTAACAATCCAAAAAATAAATCAAGGTATACTGAACATGGTAATCAACTAACCTTGCCGAGCCTCCCTCTGTAAGAGTTTCATGGACCATCTAAACAATCAACACAAACAAAATACGTCAATCACTGACCAACAAGCAAGGCCATGAGGATTGGAGTAGACTTTGATATTATGAGTGGAGGGGACGAGGGGAAGGGTCCATTTCTCTGTTGCAGGGCATGATTACTGTCAACACATCAAAGACGTTAGCTTAGCGTGACTGACAAGGAAACAACCTTGGACTAAATACTCGGTTAACTGTATTTGTTTAATATAGTTCGAAACTTTTACGGAGTGGTTAATTACTATTGTAACATGCTCAAAACACGCTTTCGTACCTCGGCAAAGTGAATCAGTTTCTCCGTGGCCACTTCGTAAGTTCGCTTACCCACTTCGGCTTTCCGAAGTTGGCAGCCGAGAACAACAAGTCTTTTCTGTAACTCTTGGAGTTCCTTCTGAAATACAAAGATCAACTCATTAGATCCACAGTGACCCTAAACATCAAAATACGGAAAGCACAGGGATAATGAGAATACAAAAAGGATCACCAAACGGGAAGTTGACTCAGACAACCAAATTCTCCCAGCTAGGCACAGGGAGCCCAGTGAGGAGAATTTGCAGGATGACAAGCAGTCACTAATAAGTTAACTCACCACATCAGGTGTCGGCTCGGCCTCTTTCGCCTTGTAAGAGTCCAGCTCTTTTTCCAGAAGTTTTATAACCTGACAAATCAAGAAACAATTTTTTTTTATTGTACAGCTAAATGGTTTTCCGAGAACCCAGGGCATTTCTTGCTCCGCCCCGCGCCCTTGCTGGGTCTCTATGCGAGATAAATCCTTCCAACAACCAATCAAATAACCCCACATGACTCTTTTACCTCAGCATAGTCTTGTTCCACATCTTTAGCANCCTAAATAATGTTTTCCATTTCATATAAACGGCGACAGCGCTTAACTTCCACAAGTTACCTTCAAATGTACAGACCAGTGAACCAACATTTAACAGTTTTCACACCGAAGAAAGGCTATGCCCGAAACGTTAGAGATTTTTCACAATATGGCAATTTTTTACTTCATCAATTATTTTCTTTTGAATTGTTATATTCGCTCAAGTGTCACGCATCAACTGGGGAGAGCAATGGTCATCCTAAACGTGTCACAAACGGCTCTACTTGAAAAACATCATCCCTTTTTTTGGTTCGTCTCTGAGGCCTGGTTTTCACTAGCGACGCAAGCACTAGCGCAAACACAATAATTATTTCACCGTGAAAACGGCTTTGACGCAGGCATAAGCACAAGGATCAAAATTGTTCCTATTGTGATTGCGCTTATGCTTACGTTCGCACTGCAACAAGTGGAAACGAAATACCGCTCGGGCATAACACAAGCACAACGATGTTTACCACACGCGGTTACGTTTGGCCACTGAAAACACTGGATCCAGATTACCTCACGCCTAAACAGTTTGAAAGGTTCGGATAATTTGGCTTGTGCTTGTGTTTGCGTCAAATTCCGTTTTCAATTGGGTCATCCGTATGGCTTGCGTTTGTGCTTACGCTTGCTTTTTGTAAGTTGTTACTTACTTACTTTCTAGTGAAAACCAGACTTAAAAATTCGTGTTACTCTGTCGAGTATTGTGTCTTTGGATCCTGGGTAAAATGTGTCAAACAAAGTCCCTGGTGATAGCATCTGTTGCAAGGGAAAAAAAAAAACAGGGAACCACAGCAAACGCCAACGAGAACGTCACCAACCAAAGGTTTAATGAGTAGAACAGTGGTTCGGCGCGTGCGTTTTGAATCTTGGTACATTTCTTACTAGCCATCTGCAAAACAACGTGAAATGACCAAGTTCTACGAATTTTGGAGAACGTGAACCGCAGTGGCTAATTTTTTTGTATCTTCCTTTGAAATTGAACGATGTCATAGCATATTTAGCCTAAGCAAGCTTTTAGACCGATAGGCGTACTGAGCAGATCTACACAGTTATGACGTTCGAAGGTAATATAAATCCATTTTTTTAAAGGGCGTCGTCCTCGGCGTTGCCATTGCTGAAGCTCCCAAGGACTTAAGTTTATTTGTGTCATTTGCGGCCCGAGTGCAGCGAGGGGGTAGGTACGTCATTCACGTGACGCTGGGGAGTTTACGAAACCACGACCTCAACGGCAACGTCACTGAACAAAAGAATTAATGAGCAGGACAATGGCTGTGCATGTGTGTTATAATTCTTGGTACATTTCTTTGCCGCCTTCTGCAAAACAACAACTTGAAATGGCCAAATTTTGCGTTGCCTGGAAAACGTGAACCACGACGGCTAATTTTTTTAATTTTTATTTCAAATTTATCGCTGTGTTCCGGATTAAATGTACATGACTTAGGAGTATCGCGAGATTCGTAGTAAAATATAAATTCATTTTTTAATCGACGTTGTCGTCGGCGTCGTGGTTTCGCACACTCCCTAATAACACAACGCGGACCGCCTGCTTCGCAATATCACGAAGGCACGCGACAAGACCGTCTCAACACCGACCAATACTACTTGAAATGGAGTGTTTCTAGGAACCAAATTTTGAATCAAGCTAGTTCATAAACCAAGTTGGCAACACGAGTTTGAAGAGTGTCCTTTATTTTTATATTTACAATTTACAATGGCGACATGATCGGCATCGACTGAATCCATGACCACTGCCAAAGTCTACAACAAAAACAGAAGAGCTTTGGTTACCGATACTGAAGTAATCCTGTTTATGAATGTTTGTTGAGAACAGTTTTCACTTGAATGTAGAAAGTAATTAGCGTTTGCTTTGGTTTTTCAGTACTGCGCTGCGCGATTGTCTTAAAAAACTCGCGCCACTTTGTCATCCAATCAGAAGAAAAGCCATAACAAAGCGTGATTCGCGCGCAAACATTTTCCCGCGCTTCGCATCGGGTATACGTATCTGCTTCGAGTTTTGATTTGTTCACTGGGTTTTCTCGTCTTTTGTAATTGGCCAGAGTGATTACTTTGGTTTTGGTTTTACGAAACTCAAACTGCTCTAACCTGTGTAATAAGGAGTCATTTTGGTCCACCTCAATTCAAGAGTCACAATTCTTGTAAAACGTTGCAAGACATCAGAAGCAATAGACCATTTTACAGTTGTCTGCTCAGTGACCTGGCCTTTGTATGGCAGCGAGGCTAGAGTTGACCTTGTTTTGATACAGACCTCACTGCTTTTGTCATGTAAATGCACCTAGTTAGCATCAGAACTTGTTTTACACAACAAAAGCAGTGAGGTCTGTATCAAAACAAGGTCAACTCTAGCCTCGCGGCCATACAAAGGCCAGGTCACCGAGCAGACAACTGTAAAATGGTCTATTTGTCTATTCAACCAAGAAAAAAAATGGCACCCTGCCCAGTAGTCTGTAGTTTTGCCGTTGTGCTCTGCATAGGACGCAGTATACACATCTTTATTTCGTTGGCCACAAATAGTTCGTTCACTTATGCTTGAGTTTTGTATGGGAAAGATAAACAATACTGGGTGACAAACAGTTGCGATATCTTTGTGCCAAGAAGTGTTTCATCTTGAAAAATGTAACAAGTCGATCGTGAAAACGAGCGTCGTTGGTTTCGTCAAGCTGGCACACTAAGGAACAAAGACTTGAGGAACGAGATTGAGAACCCTTAGTAAATGACCAGGCATGCTCATAACGGGTTGTCCTGCTCTGTGTTTAAGTGATGGGTTCCAATCCCTCGGCGATTCAGATGGTTTGCTTTGTCCCAAAGAAAAGAGAAAAATAGTAAAGGAAAAATCTTGCATATGCATACAAACCTGCTTTGAGGTCCAGAGTTGATATTTGTGTGAGCGGCTGTGTGAAACAACTCCCTTTGGAACCTATAGTAGACAAAACAGAGCAAACCATACAGGTTTTCGAGAACCGATACGTCAACCTAACGTTCTATAGACAGAATCAAAACAGTAGAAACTGCATGGAAGCCTACCGAACTGCCACAATTTGCTTGTATTCTAATTGATTATATCGCTGTCTCACAAGGACTGGGAACTACCGAATTCACGAATTTGATTGGCTGAAATCGATATTGACCGCGGTCTAGATTTTCCCATCTAGACCGGCATCTA